TGGCCTAGGGGGGGGATTGTATAGGGATTTTAATAGGGATTTTATAACTTTTCTAAAAATAACAGGCTAATTTAATATATATTTTAATTGTTTTTAGATATTTATTGTATAGTTTCGTTTTTTATTTGCCTGTAAGCCGCCCTGAGTCCTTCGGGAGAAGGGCGGGGTATAAATTAAAGTAATAATAATAATAATAAAAAGGGTACTTTGTCACCCGTTATCTTAATAGCAGGACCTATAGGATACAATTGTCTTAAGTATTGTATACTGTACAGTGTCATGAACAAATTTAAAACAATGTATTTTCTAAACCCTAGATTCACTTCCCCATTATGTAATACTTGCAAGGGAGACCTTGCCTAGAGGGAGAAGAAAAAGAAAGGTCAGGATTATAAATCTAAAATTTTATTATGGACAAAAGGACAGTTCAGTATGAAGTTAAAATCCAAACAATTAAGTTTTAGACATTTTCACAGAAGCCTAACACATGCTTTACTTTAAAAAAGATTTGTACAATGCAGTTCTACATACATGCTGCCCTGTGAAGAAGTTGGTGGCTTACTAGGACTTGAGCAAATTCAGAGGTAAAATTATGTCCTTTGTAAAAACAGAAGTCTATTACATTAAAAATAAGTGGAGGGCCAAGGCAAAGTAATCATTAATGCCCAGGTCTGACAAAAAGTGTTTACAGACTATTCTGCAACTTATGCTGTAGGAAAGTAGATTTCACTCCTTTCGTCCCCCCACCACTCATGATTCTCAAGTTCAAATACATACAGGAAAGTAAAGTAATCCTAGTTCTGTGGGAAGGGGAAGTTAAAAGGATACAGAAAAGAAAGTCTATTTTAGGACAAGGTGTTAAATTTTCCTCTTCCCTAATTTTAGATGTGTGACAATAATTCTTTTATTAGCTGCATTCATGATTACAGCCTTAGCTGTTAATGCTAACACTTAAGATGCATTTGCTCCAGCATTTTGATTAAGAGTAACCTATTTTAATTGCAGTAAGATGCAGGTTTTTTTTAAAGAACTATGATTCTGGCTATAGAATACTGTAAACTACACTTTGTTTCAAGTCAGTTGGCGCATACCCTCCCTTCCCACCTCAACAATACACAAAAAATAGCAAAAAAGGAATCAAACCTACACACACATGCTAAACTATAAAAATGCTGTTAATACTATTTGGGAGAAAGGTTGCAAATTTCAGGTGATCTTTACAGAACAAGCACCTGCACTTGCTGTTTCTGTTGGTGGCCTTCATTCCTCCAATCAAGGTGACAGATTATGAATATGCACATGCACACACAAGCAGAGATCTTGTCCTGTTTCTACAGAGGGTATCCTCCTCAGCCAAGTGTCTCTTCACTTCTTCCTCATGTTCAAACCCACAGTCTGTTCTCTTAATACAAAAGTCAGCCAAAGGAGGGATGAGGACAGAAGGGCAAGCAACTTAACTCTTGTCATCCTTCTTATCATCCTCCTCCGAGGGATAAGAGTGCCATGTGAGCCTTTCCTCATAAAATGAGATGACCACCTGTGGACACTTGATGTTAGCTTCCTTGGCAGGAACCAGATCAGCTTCATCTGAGTTTTTCCTATATAATCAAGAGAAAAAATGTTAGTGTTTATCCCACAGGCAGTGATAAAGAAGATCTATTTTCAAAATACAGATGATCAAAGATTGTGCCATGTCACCTGAATGACACTTGTGAAAATTTGATGGAATGTATTGTTTAAAGTTGTAAGGTATATCAAAGTCAATATTTTCTGGTAGCAGGTACAACTATTTCATTTTGTTCTCTAATTTAAAAGATAACTTGCTGGATCTTCTATTTCCTAATTGTGGAGATGGATGAATATCCCACTAAACTGCAAGGATACCATGGCATAGTTCCAACCTCTGATGGACAATACATTTGCACCTACCATGTTTCCCCAAAAGTAAGACCTAACCCCAAAATAAACCCTAGTTTTTTGGAGATGGGCCTAATACAGTGAGGGGAAAAAAGTATTTGATCTCCTGCTGATTTTGTATGTTTGCCCACTGACAAGGAAATGATCAGTCTATAATTTTAATGGAAGGTTTATTTTAACAAGAGAGAAAGAATAACAAAAAATCCAGAAAAACACATTTCAAAAAAGTTAATAAATTGATTTGCATTTTAATGAGTGAAATAAGTATTTGACCCCTTTGCAAAACATGACTTAGTACTTGGTAGCAAAACCCTCGGCAATCACAGAGGTCAGACGTTTCTTGTAGTTGGCCACCAGGTTTGCACAAATCTCAGGAGGGCTTTTGTCCCACTCCTCTTTGCAGATCCTCTCCAAGTCATTAAGGTTTCGAGGCTGACGTTTGGCAACTTGAACCTTCAACTCCCTCCACAGATTTTCTATGGGATTAAGGTCTGGACACTGGCTAGGCCACTCCAGGACCTTAATGTGCTTCTTCTTGAGCCACTCCTTTGTTGCCTTGGCCGTGTGTTTTGGGTCATTGTCATGCTGGAATACCCAACCACGACCCATTTTCCTGGCTGAGGGAAGGAGGTTCTCACCCAAGATTTGAAGGTACATGGCCCTGTCCAGCGTCCCTTTGATGCAGTGAAGTTGTCCTGTCCCCTTAGCAGAAAAATACCCCTAAAGCATGTTTCCACCTCCATGTTTGATGGTGGGGATGGTGCTCTTGGGGTCATAGGCAGCATTCCTCCTCCTCCAAACACGGCGAGTTGATGCCAAAGAGCTCGATTTTGGTCTCACCTGACCACAACACTTTCACCCAGTTCTCCTCTGAATCATTCAGATGTTCATTGGCAAACTTCAGACATGCCTGTACATGTGCTTTCTTGAGCAGGGGGACCTTGCAGGCGCTGCAGGATTTCAGTCCTTCATAGCGTAGTGTGTTACCAATTGTTTTCTTGGCGACTATGGTCCCAGCTGCCTTGAGATCATTGACGAGATCTTCCCATGTAGTTCTGGGCTGATTCCTCACCATTCTCATGATCATTGAAACTCCACAAAGTGAGATCTTGCAGGGAGCCCCAGGCTGAGAGAGATTGAGTTATTTTGTGTTTCTTCCATTTGCGAATAATCGCACCAACCCTTGTCACCTTCTCACCAAGCTGCTTGTAGCCCATTCCAGCCTTGTGTAGGTCTACAATCTTGTCCCTGCCATCCTTGGACAGCTCTTTGGTCTTGGCCATGGTGGAGAGTTTGGAATCTGATTGATTGCTTCTGTGGACAGGTGTCTTTTATATCGGTAACAAGCTGAGTGTCACAGTTTCGATAGATGAGACCAAGTAAAGCAGAACTCCGAGGCTTCAGTTTTCCTCTATGAACATGTTTATTGGTTACAAAGTATCAGCATGATCAAAAGTGAAACCATGACTAAAGATCCCTCCCAAAGCAACAGTATTACAAAGTTAAAATTCCCACCCCCCAAATGTATGCAATGAAGTATGTTTCCCAATAGAATAGATTGGCGGGCTTTCTGACATTAGGCTCAACCCCCCAGCTGAGGGAACAGAAATGACCTTGGTTCCCACGGGACAGAGAATTGTTTAGGCTAGCATAGAACTTCCCATACCTCCTCCCCCCAATCTTGTGGCAACCGAAAATGAACAAGTTGGCTTCAGTCAGGTTTGTTGCAGGTTTGACAGTCGGATCCCCTAAAGAGAAAACAAATCCTGCAGAAAACAAAGAGTAAATTAGGAATCTCCCCAAGTCTTTTGAGGGTGTTTATCATAAAACGTCTTTATCAACCGGTCTGCTTTGACGTCTACACTCTTAACCCAGGTAGCCTCTGATAAAGGATACCCCTTCCACTGCACTAGGAACTGTAATTTCCCTTTGTATAACCTAGAGTCAAGGATTCGCTTAATTTCATAATGAGTTTCTCCTTGAACTAAAAGGGGACCAGGTGCTTTCTTGGGAGTTGGTCTCAATGAGGATTCCCTCAGAGGTTTTAGCAAACTGCAATGGAAAACAGGGTGAATTTTCCCAAGTAAGCGAAGAAGTTTCAATTCAACTGTCACAGGATTGATAATTCTAATTATAGGGAAAGGACCAAGAAATTTCGGTCCCAGTTTCTTACTGGGCAATTCAAGTCTTAAATATTTGGCTGAAAGATAGACCTTTTCCCCCCAGCAGAAACGGCCTCTGATGGGACCACTTCTTATCGGCTTGTTCCTTGTAAGTTTTTGCAGCTTGTGTTAGAGCTTTTTTTACATTAGTCTGAACAGTTTGCCATGATGTCACCCACTGGTCTAATGTTTGTGAGGCAGGTGGTTCCTGAGGGTATTCAGGCATAGTGACAAACTCTCGGCCGGTGGCTCTCTTAAATGGAGTAAGTCCAGTACTGCTATGCACAGTATTATTGTAAGCCACCTCAGCAAAAGGTAGGTCAGCCCAGTTCGTTTGTTGGTAATTAACGTAGCATCTGATGTATTGTTCCACCATTGTGTTAGCTTTTTCAGTCGATCCATTCGTGCTCAGATGAAAAGCCGAGGAAAGCCCCTGAGGCTATGAAATGAGCCTGCTTAGAAAAAAGATCAATGACAGTCCATATTACGGTATTTCCTCTACTTTCTGGTAGCTCAACAATAAAGTCTATAGCTATTTCCTCCCAGCTACCTGCTGCAACAATCCAGGGAGTTTCCCTGGTCGTCTTTTCATGGCAGCGCAAATGAAACAGCTTTTTATGTAGCTTTCAATGTCCTTTTTCATCCCTGGCTACTAAAACTGTTTCTGGACCAAATGCAATGTTTTTAAAAAGCCAAAGTGACCGGCGAATTTGGTGTTGTGACTGCGTTGAAGTGCTTGGATTCCGAGGATCTCGGGTAGGTACAATTTAGAGACCTTCCAGGCTAACACATCCTGTTGGGTCAGTAGAGTCTTATTTGCCTGGAACCAGGTGTCAGTCTTTAATTCTTCCCTAAGTTTCTTTCTTAGAGGGTTCTCTGGCTCAGCTGGCTGTGTGTGCGTTTGACCGCGAGTGGTTATTTGCGAAGCTGATTGTGGCAGGGGAATAATAGGGTTTATAATGTCCTCTTGGCGGCTTTTTGTACTGGGGCATCCTAGATCAGGGGTAGGCAACCTCGGCTCTTTTATGACTCATGGACTTCAACTCCCAGAATTCCTGAGTCAGCATAGCTGGGAGTTGAAGTCCATGAGTCATAAAAGAGCCGAGGTTGCCTACCCGTCCTAGATAAAGCATCAGCCAAGGAATTTTTTTCCCCAGGAAGGTATTTCAGAGTGAAATTGAAACGATTAAAGTACTGTGCCCAACAGACCTATTTAGGGGACAACTTTCGAGGGGTTCTCAGTGCCTCTAGATTTTTATGATCAGTCCACATTTCAAAAGGCACTTTGCTTCCCTCAAGGAAATGACGCCATGTTAATAAGGCCCACCTCACTTCCCATATTGCCCATTGCCTTTCAGTATCAGTTAATTTCCTAGAGGTATAGGCGCAGGGTTGTAAGTCCCCCTTTTGATTTCTTTGCAAAAGGACCGCTCCCACTGACACATCACTTGCATCAGCTTGGATTATGAACTGTTTGTTAGGATCGGGGTGTTTCAGGACAGGTTCAGATGCAAATAGTCTCTTTAAGTTTTCAAATTCCGCTTGGCATTCCATAGACCATGACGGGTTGACAGGGTTGAGGCTCCCCCCCCCTTTTCCAGTTTTCAACAGTTCAGTAATTGGCAGGGCTATCTTGGCAAAAGAAGGAATGAACAGCCAATAGAAGTTTGTGAACTTTAGGAAGATCTGAAGCTGTTTACAGGTTTGTGGAGGCTGCCACTCAAGCACCGCTTTGACCTTGGCTGGGTCCATTTCAACCCCCTCACTGGAAGTCCGGTACCCAAGATAGTCGAGGCGTGTCTGATGGAAATCGCACTTAGAGAGTTTAGCATAAAGCTTGGCTTTAGGCAACTTTTTGAGCACTTCACGCACTAATTTGATGTACTCTGCCATGGTTTCGGTGTAAATAAGGATGTCATCAAGATAGACTAGAACCCCTTTATACAGGTGATCATGCAGCACTTGATTAATTGCATAAACACAGCAGGGGCCCCTTGAAGGCCAAAAGGCATAACTCTGAACTGGAAGCTTCCCGGAGGGCTGTTGAAAGCTGTTTTCCATTCATCTCCCTCTTTGATTTGCACCCTGCGATCCATCTTTTTTCTCTTAGAACAGGGCAGCCACAGACGATTTTGCGGGTTGGATGAAACCTCTGGCTAGATTCTTGTCGATGTATCCCCTCAACTCTTTTAATTCTCTGGGCGTCATTGAATACATTTTTGGCTTGGGAAGTTTGGCTCACAGTTCTCAATTGCACAGTCAGTCCCCCAGTGGGGGTGGGGGGGGGAAAGGTTGTCACATTCCTTTTTGCCAAAAACGTCTGCTAAGTCTCGGTATTCACTGGATATCAGCTGGGGCCCTGGAATAAGTTCTATGGCCACGCTTAACAGTTCAAGGGACTGTTCTTGGTCTTCAATAGCGCCAGCTCCCCACACTTCACTAGGTGAGGTAGGAATAGAATAGAATAGAATAGAACCTTGTAGGTCTTCTGGTCCAGCCCCCTGCTCGAACAGGAGAAC